GGAGTCAACAAGCATACTTTTAGAATTTGATTAAAAGGGAATATAATATGGAATCGCGTATCTAAAGAAATTAATAACGATATGATTATATTCATGTACCGCAACACAAGAATAGTACAGGCTGTACATTGTCTGTTGATATGAATGTTTCTGTAGTGCTTTTTCAGCAATTTCCATGTGACCTTGCTGGTGGCGCTATGGGTTAGGTTCCTGACTCCCACGTCACACACTCTGTGTTTGAATCCTGCTGGAGCCATGACTTTTTTTTTTAACAAACATTTCTTTGAAAAAATAAAACGTTTCCCTGGGTCAGAGATTACAAAAACCTCACTCGCACCAAACAAATTTATATTTCTAAATATCACAACATGATCGAATTTTAGTCATTTTAATAACAATGAATAGTCACCTAGGCGTTACAATATAAACATTTATATTGATTTAAATCGCATTTAAATCGCCTTTTTTTAAAACCCATAAATAAAGCTGATACTGTTTAGACTTTTAATTATTTAAAACTGTATTACAGCAGCACAATGCACAATGCAACATAAATCGCTACCTTTGTCTTCTGCGTAACAATGTTCACCTCTCTGTCCAGCAAATTAACAAAAGTAATAATAATGAACTTTATTGTATATGGCGCCTTTAAAGCTGGCTCCTCAAAGCGCTTTACAGGATAAAAACAATAACAACAATACTGTTAGGCTGGGCAAACGATTTTTTTTTAAGAAATACAAAATGAGATATAATGATGTGTTCCGTCTTAGACATTAACGAAGAGCATAACATGTGGGCGGCCAGCAGGAGTGCTGGCTGTGACCAATTAAACCGGTTTCACAGGTATTTTCAAAGTAGAGGGGGGCGAGATTTCCAGCGAAAGACACCTCCCCGCTCCAAAACCAAGGAAGTACAGTACTTACTAGTTAAGAAAGCTAGGCTCCTCAATGAAATCACTTTAACATGCTAATGCGTTGGTGTAACGGTCTGGGCGTGGCAAGCTTCTAATGTCAACTACGGCGAAAGGAACCCTTCTTTAATTGGAAGACAATGAACATATTCTAGTCCTAAATGAATAAATAGCAAACATGGTTTACATAAAAGACATTTTTCCAAGAAAGTTTAGCCTTTGTCACTAATGAAACCACTAAATAAAGAAATCTTAAGATTTTTAAAATACATGACTTTGCTAAAATTTATGTTAAAATAAAAACTATTACAAACGCCAGCGGAGAGAGAGAACAGGGGAGGGATGTTGGTTTCGCATAAGGGGCGGGGCTATGGAAATGAGGTCTATTTGGGAATGTGGAGTTACATGTTCTGGCAGTTTGTGAATTATCGTTGTTGAGTATGGAGTGTTGAGGCAAAATGCAATTTAGCACTTTCTGGCAAGAGGAGACCCCCAAATTAATAATGTAACATGCTATTGTTTGTGCATGAACATAGTTACTGTATACTGTTATTTCTTTAGATATGCGATTCCATGTTATTTTTTAATCCCTGGCGGGACTGGGAGTCCATAAGAATCGAGTAATAGGTTTCATTGCGCTCTGACAGATCGTCTTTAAATTTACCTTCAGTGGTAAAATTCCATATAAATATTCAATACTTAAACAGGCACAGTAAAGACATTAAATATACATATACATCCTGTATACAGTACAGTTTGCATACAGTAATATGTTTATGTTCCTAAATCAATCTCTTTTATGAGCATGTGAAAGGCATGGTGAATTGATTCTCAAAAATTACTGTACTTTGCATGATTGGAAACAAATGCGTGATTGCGAAATGCTGTGGTGTTACTTTTACAAAGATGGTCAATGAAAAAAAGAATGTGGACAAAGGCAATACTTTGAGTTTACAGCTTGTCCAAGGTCATTCATTATTAATACTATTAGTAATATCTTCATTAAAGACTTTGATGGTGACAGCTCAAACATGAGAGGTTGAGCTTTATTAGCTCCACCTTGCGGAAATTCCGGATACTATTATTTTAGTTGCGGTATTATAGGAGAATTTACGGTAACTCACGGTAGACTGCGTAAAGCGCACCGCAAAATAATGCCGTATCGCCCGCTTGTTTTGAATGGCTGCATCTGTATATATACAGTATCATACTGATTAGCAGTGTTCTTGCAGACTGCTTTCATCTATATGTGATAACTAGCACCACTGTTTTACAAGTGATTATATAAGTAATTATATTACATAACTGTTTTTGTACATTACATATCCAGCAATTCTGAATGTGCGGGGGATACTGCAGTACTTTGCAGTTCAGGGTACCACAGCTTTTTAAAAATACTCAGTTGTGGGGCACTACTATGTAAAACCACCAGGTGGAGCAGTGAAACCTGAACGTGGCATGTGGAACATTTTGGCTGTCACCAGAAAACGCCTGGTTTTGAATCCTGGTCAATGCTGAGGGACAATATTAAACTAAAAAGTAGGTATATTTTATAAATGCAAGATTGCTCAGTTCGATATATAAAAAACAGTTTGTCATTATACTGTAGCGTGTGAATGGATGTAAACTCTTTCAGGTTAACATCCACATAGAGAAAATCTAAAGGTAAATTTTAGATTACAATTTTAGTTTTATTAAAATAAAAACAGTAGTATAATGTAATACATGCCTATGTACACACAGTACATGGTAGTGGTAGCTAAATATAAAAAAGTACACAACAGTATTCCACCTTCGTCATAAATATTTTATGCATCAAAGTCTAACTCGGTGACAGGGGTTATGGTTTTAATGTGCGTGTTCTAACATTATAAAGTTTATATACTGTACTTCATAAAAAAGTAATAATGTTTTATAATTTTCTAAGAATACGTAGTAAGAACACCACTTAGTAAGAACCAACAAAAAAGTTGTAATGATTTAATACCACTTAATAGTAATATTAATATGGAATTATGTAACTTAGCAGCTAAAATATCACAAGAAGATGTTTTGGAAAAATTTTGACATTTGTTTTTTTTATTTTATTGTCCATATAGTGGTAATGGGCAATGGACTGCAATGTAGTGTAATGTAGTGTTAAAGAACAACCTGCTTGGTTGGTGAACCACCAATGCATCACTCTGCTTAAATGTGCTACATTAAAATCTGCAAGCATTACATTTTCCATTACTCTGTGAAAAAGTGTTTTATATATATATAAACACATATTTACAATTGATAATATTGTAATTGCTCGCAGAGCAAGTAAAATCAAATAAACCCAAAGTGTCACGGGTGTCTGAAAAACTGGCTGAACTGACTGTGGAGAGGAAGGAGAGCAAAAATGACCCTATGCGTAGCGGCGAGACGGGAAAAAGCCCTGGGCTCGTTAGTCAAAGAGTTCAGGAGTGCCGTATAGAAACCTATGCCCTCAGGTAGCAGACATGGGGCGACCTGGTGGTAGGCGGGTCTCAGGACATCCGAAAGTCAATGCTGAGCCCAGACAACTAAAAGAGCCAAAAATATATAGCCCCAGAGAGAGAGACACACCAGAAGGACAGCAAATAACCATAAATGAGACAGGAAAGAGTAGGAGCGCCCTCTAGCTGCAGAGGGCGTGACACAAAGTATTTTGACATGAAACAATATGAATAAAAAATGCAAAATGAAAACTTGCATGAAATTACAGAGAAAAACACTGAAAACAGCATATTGTGAATCATTTTGAAACATTTTCATCTGAATTATTGCAGAATTGCTGTGGCAAAGGTTTGCTTTCCTTAAAGAAAAACTTTTTATACAGTGCAAACTTTGCAAACTTGTACCAGTTCTGCGTGCAACTGTAAGTCATTCTTGAAAATCCTTCAAGTAATTACTAGCCTCTTTTTTGTTTTTTATGTACTTGGTTGTCACACTAAGCTGGATTCACTGCACCATCTGACAGTTTTACAGAGTAGTGCAGTCCTGCATCAAATTATTTGAAAAAATAAGAGAGGCGAGACTTGTTCGTCACAGCTTGTGTTGTGGTATGTTGTCTGACACTGCATTCTGGATGGCCACATCTGTATGTGCATAGAACCATTTCCACATGGCTTTTATATATCAAATCATGAAACCTGATTTAATAATAATAAAACTCAGACTTACCATCTTCCTCCTCCAGTATCACCTTCTCAGACATTGAGATTTGGGGTTAAAATGCCAGTATAACTGTTGTCACTGTAAAACAAATATATTTATGATTTCTATAGTATAAATAACCTTTTTTTATCCAAGAATCTTATTAATCCTGTTTGTAGTGTAAAACACCTGGTTTGAGCATCTTGGGTGCTGTGGTAAAAAGGCAATGGACTGCAGAAAAGCCTCACCCTATCCTTGAGTATTGCATGTGTAATAGTGCCATATTTAAAAAAAAAATAAACAAAAGTTTCACATATCAAAGGAAACTTTTCAAGGATCAGGGGTTTTGTTTATTCTGTAAAACATTTGGTTTGAATATCATGGGTGCTGTGATTAAAACACTATTAAGTTCAGAACAGCTTTCCTACTGTCAGATGTATTGCATATGGAGTTGATCCTTATCTAAATGAAAACAGAAAATAAAGAAATGGTTTCAGAAATCAAAGTTTGAATGTTTGAACCCAGTCTTTACAAAGGATACATAATTAGAGATAATTTTGAGTTTGTCTTTGTGGTATTCAACTTTCCATGGTCATATGCAGGTATGTCACATAAATATCTATTGACTCGCATTGTGAACTCATGTGCATAGCAGTTCCACTGTATTCTAGCATTATTTCTTCCAAAACTTAAATAATATTGCACTAATATTCCTATATCCAAACTGCCATAAAAGAAGCATCCTGCAGTCACAGTTGCCTTGCTTCTGATGCATTATTATTATTATTGCTAATAGAAGTATTTTAAGCTTCCATCACTTATTTACATGTGATATTCAACTAAAATTGCATTCCAACCACAATACAACAGGTCATGGAATACATCTCATGTTTCTCATGTTCAAACTGTAAAGGAGGGTATCAATAGTATTGCACCTACTGTATTACTGTATTACAGGGTCTGTAGAATATTATACAGTTCTCAAATATGGAGATAAGTATTCTGGGGAAGATACTAAAATCTAGGAAAATACATATACTGTAAGTAATTGGACCGTGTGTTGAGTTTCATCTGATTATCACTTTATTATTTGTTTTTCTATTTATTATTTTGTTAACTTAAATTTAAGGTGTATGGATGAAGGATCCCTTGGATCACAAACGAAGTTTCAGTTACTTAATCTTTGAACAATCAAAACTGTGGAGATCCAGATTCTCCAAATAAGCAAAATCCACAGACATAAATTTAGATGTCTAGTCTTAGATGAACATCATGTACTGTACATGCTTACTATCCTCCACAGTACCTTTTATTCATAGGCAGGTTTGTCTCAGATAATGGACAACAGTATTTTACTGTTAAATACTATTGTATTTCATTGTATAGAAATACAATGGACCTCCAGTTATCTGGGTCAATAATTCTTCATTATTTTTTGTGTAAATCAGTCTTATATCATGTTTTCAGTTTCTAGAATTTTCTTTTTTATGTGTACCTATTTTTTTTTTGTTTTACTCCTCCCTACAATAAATTATGCATTTAAATAAATATTTTGGATTACATTCTGGATCAGTATCAACATTCCTTTCAAGCTTTATATTTTCAAAGAATATTGTTACTTAATTTTCTTTAGCAATCAACAAACAAAACAGTGTACAGTCACAGTGTAAACAAATGATGTTGTTATTTTTTGTCATATTACTTTTTAAAATGTATATCTTTATGATTGACCTGCAATGTACTGTATATTTTAAACTTACCTGTCTGTGAGTAGATTCTCTCCAGGAGTGTGAAGATAATCAGTGTCTTTTCTTTTTATAGTGAATTTTGAAAGGAGGAACTCTTACTGTTCACCTGTGATAAGTTAATAATCAACATCTTATCAACCATGCATTGAATTCTAAAGCCCTTTACAATCTACAAATACTACTGTAATGTTGTACAGGACAGGCTATTTGCTCCCATATAATCTACATACAGTATGAATCCTATTGTTTTCAAACACAAAGTTTGATATCCATTCTTCTTAGAACTCTATTCTGCATCTGTTTTTTTTTAAATCCAGCTCTACAGTGAACTCTCTGACATTACCTTTTCCATATTGTGAAGTGCTTTATGGTCAGTTAATATGTAAAATATTAAGCATAATCCATCTATTTCTTTCTAATCATTTTTTCCACTTCATGGTCATGGAGGAGCCAGAGTTCATTCCAGCAAGCAACAGGTAAGAGGAACTTGAACTTGAACTTTATTGCCATATATAACTGGTACATGTACTGGTACAATGGAATTCGTACTTACAGAAAGTCTCTCGATTGTTAAAAAAGTGTTAAATACAAAGTGCAGACAGTGCATCAAGACAATATACAAACAGTAGACAGTTTGAATGTAAACAATGCAGACATGTAAACAATGACTGCAGGTGTGCAATAAATAAGAAATTATAATGAGGTAGATGGTGTAGGTGTGGTCCGATGGGCATGGCTAAATGTGTTCGCCAATCGCACTGCTTGTGGATAGAAGCTATTGAAGAATCTAGTGGTAAGTGTCCGTATGCTCTTGTATCTCTTGCCTGAGGGCAGTGGGGTGAAGAGCTCATGCCCGGGGTGGTGACTGTCCTCTGTGATGGCCAGAATTCTACCACAGCAGCGGTTCTCATAGAGCTGTTAAATCTTGGTGAGACCACAGCCGATGACCTCTTGGGCCACATTCACCATTCTCTGCAGTGCCTTCCTCTCTCGAGAAGAGGTGCTGCCGTACCACATGGTGATCCCTTTGGTGAGGATGCTCTCGATGGTGCAGCAGTAGAAGTTCACCAACACAGGAACTGTAATCCCCCATCGCTTGAGGCACCTCAGGAAATAGAGGTGCTGCTGAGCCTTCTTCAAGATAGAGGCTGTGTTCACAGTCCAGGTTAGATCATTAGAAATGTGAATTCCCAAAAACCTAAAGCTGGTGACTGTTTCCACTTCCGTTCCATCAATACTGAGTGGGCTGTGAGTGTGCGGCCTGTGTCTCTGAAAGTCCACTATTAGCTCTTTTGTTTTAAACAAAAGAGTGGTGCACATTGGATGGTTTCCCATTCCATCTTTGTCTGTCCATACAGCCAGACAAAAACAAATACACTCACACCTAAGACCAATTCCAGAAACACATTAACCTAGCAGTATGTTTTTCAACTGTGGGAGGAAAATTCTAAATAGATTGCAATCCATGTCTAAACTTGAACCCAGAGTCCCAGTGCTGCAAGACAGAAATGCTAACTACTGTGCCATCATGCTTCCTATAATGCGCTTTACCCCAGCATGCGATTTGCTGGTCAAAGATGATTGACAGGTGGCACTTGTGGTGCATTAGATGTTAGTGAAATTATTGCTTCATTAAATCTGTAATATTAATTTAATTGCTAATATTAATATGGAATTTTACAATTAAAGAGAAATATTGGTAGCTGAGTATAAAAATAACAGGAGCATAACATTTCTGAATGTCATAAACTATATTAATTAATGCTATGAATACTTGCTTTCGTTATTGCAATAAAAATATTTACTTTTTAGAATCCACTTAATAGGGAATTGAGTAGCTAAGAAATTAATAATATTATAAGGATCTAAATATAATCTATTTTGTATTTCTGGTAGTATTACTGTATTCCTCTTTCTTGTAAACATCTGCATCAATTTCTCTGACTCATTCACTTGTGATTACTTTGCAAACATTCTGAATGGTGCGTTGGTGCGGTGGGTTTGGTGGATGGTTCTCCCCCTTGAAGTCTGGGTTTGATTCCTGCTTAGGGTACAATTTTTTCTTCTAACAAACAAAGACTCCTTTTTAAAAATTAAAATAACAAATATTATGTACACTTTATTGACTTTTAAGATATTTGTATATGTCACAGAGTTCAATGTTGAATGATACTATGAAAAACATGAATGAGCAAATGTGAATACTAACAACAGTTGGAGTAAAAACCAGTTCAGCCGGTTTATTTCAATTCACAATACTTTATTCATCTCCAAAGGCAATTTAACACAAGCCTTTACAACAAGCCTTGAAACGAAATTGTATATAATTATAATCGAGAATAACAAAGTGGTATTAAAAAGACCACTGGAGCTGAACTATAATAACCTGATCACTATTAACAATATGAATTTATCAATAATAAATAACTTTTCGCTCAAGGACATTTGTTTTCTATGGTTTTCATAACCTTCACTTTCTTATTAAAAACCCTATGTTTGAGGCACAATGTTTCAGATGTCAATAACTCTGCAAACAAATGACACAGATGACCTTCAAGCTACAGGCATTTTAAATACTGTGATTTGAGAATATTTTCACAACTTTTATTTAAACAACATCTAGTATCCTGACCATATAAAGCAGGATAACACAAACATGTTGGGTTCAAGCTCTCTTTAATTTGAGAAGCTCTTTCTGTATTTACTGTTTTACTCAGATAAACAATAAATTACATATGAAATTCGTTTGACAGGAGGAAAGATGTTCTTTCCAGCTCTCTGGCACATCAGTATCCATAGCTAGTTTGTTGTTTAAACAAATTGCCTCTAAATATAAACATCTTAAGATGATGACTCTGTGGATCTGTATGTTTGCCTTCTATTTATGTGCATCCAACTCACAGTCAATGATGGCAACAACACAAAGTCCAAAATACGTTTATGTTTAATATGTTTTGATTAAAATATGATTAAAATATGTTTAATCTCATTTCAGTATCTATGTAAACATTAAACAGTGTTCACATGTTCTTTTGTAACACACAACTTTCTGTGATTTTTTTAAATTAAAAGCTTATCTAAGCTTTTTAAGGTGTTCCTGCATTCCCCTTCTGCACTATGTCAGGTCATGATTCACTTTTTTCCTGTTTGCTCATTTTCAAAGTAACACTTGCTCCATTTTTGTATTTTTACATCTAAACCATTTATTTACCTCTCTAACACTTTAATTGTCTTAATAATTTAGACTGAATTTTAGCTTCAGCCTTGAAAAGCTTAAGTTTTTTCTATCTTTTATTACTTGTCCTACAGACCTCTTTAATCGTGAAGCTTCCAGAACCTGTTGTAACTGTTAATACAATGATGAATATAATTGTCACTATATTATTATATGTCATTATATTTATTCTCTCAAAATAAAATACTATGCAAACTATATTCACATTTCTGATAATTGTACATATCAAATATTAATAATATTATTAATAACATAAATGAACCTCCAGACCATCTCCAGGATGCTCGAAAAGAGCTTGGGAGGGAACGTTTTGTGCCAGCCAGCTAGCACATTATCACCTCACAGTTGGGGGAAGGGAAACTGGATGTGGGCTTTTATTTCACTCTCCATCACTTTCCCCAACCCCTGGACGGACAAAGGTGATAAAGGTGATAAAAATTAATTCAAAAGGGTGCAGTGTGTTAACACAAACTCTAAAAGAGCCGCTTCTAAGAGCAAGGTGACTTTCTGCTCAATTATATGAAAGCTACAGTACAGACAGATTTAAAATTTTTCAAATAAAATTAGCTGTTTGTGAAAATCAGATACTTTGCAAGCAGTGCACAACTCCTCAAAAGATACCCTTTGTCTCTTGCGCAAACTCAACAAAGGTTTTTTTTTTTATAATTTCAAAACTTGGATGGAGTGCCTCGGGGATTCATTCATAATATAATCAAAACAAATTCCTCTGCAGGGTCTCATCTCATTCCACACACACGAATCCCATGAAGTTAGATCCACTGATATACCAAAATAGTAGCGTACACATCAATGAACTGTGGTGTGATCATATACTGTATAAATATACTGTATATACAGCATGATACTGTATGGTTTTAAAGTGACTACAGTAAATTATGTGTGAAATATTTTTATAGATGGTGGTTAAACACTCTGCTGGTACTGATGGGAACTGGATGAAGATGGATATATATATTTTTGCAGTTTATTACTGAACAGACACCTTTGCTACTCCGTGTTCTCTCCCGCTTACTTCCTGATCTCCCCCTGTCCTAGTCACATTCTCCCCATAAACCTGCAACTGATCCAGAGAACTCCACACAACTCAAAAGCATTTCAAACTGCTCATATGAACAAAACTGCAACAGGACCTAAGCTTACATTAATATTCCCTATTATGTGGTATTACCTCAGCATAACACCATTTTTTACAACAGTTTAAAATTAAGTGCAGTGCAGTATTGAGGGTAGAGGTGTGTGCACCGTGAATTGCTGCATTATCTAGCACACATTCTGAATGGGTTGATCTTTAACTTTGAGAGGTTGCACATTTGATTAGTACAACTCTCAACAAAAACAACAGAAGACAAAGGAACATTCAAAGCAAATCTGGGGTAAGATTAAAAAAGGAACCGATTGGTGGACAGTTATAAGAAAATTTACAAGGCATAGAATATCTCCTAAAGCACAGTTAAGTACATTATACAGAAATGGATAAAACACAGAACCACTATGAATTGGTGCAGAACCAGACATCCTTTAAAAATGAGTATCTGGGTGAGAAGGCCACCAAGAAACCTAGGACTCTAAAGAAATTACCACAACATCTATTGCCTGGATGCTTCACAAATCTGCGTTTCTTTGGAAAGTGTCAAAATGAAAAACATTGTAGAAATAAACTCACATTAAATCTCAACTGCATTTTGCTAGAAGGCACGTGGGAGACTCTTAAACCAAATAGTAGACGATTCTATGGTCTAATGCTTTGCAAATTTACCATTTTGTGCGTTGTGTTTGGTATAGGAGTAACACATGCTTTGGGATGCGTCACTGCATCAGGGCCTGGAAGACTTGTGAGGATAGAAGGCAAAATGGTTACTGTAATGTAAAGAGAAATCCTGGAGGAAAACCTACTACAGTCTTCAAGAGACCTGAAAGTTGGGAAAGATTCTTCCAACAGGACAATAACCAAAAATCTACAGCTAAAGCCACTCTGGAATGTCCTAAAAACAAAGAAGTAAATGTTGTAGAGAGACCATGTCAAAGCCAAAACTTCAATCGAATGGTCCCTAACAGACATGAGGGAGCATGAGCAATTATGCAAAAAGGAACAGGCAAAAACTCCAGTGTCCAGAAAAATGACTACCAAATATTGCCTCAAGGGGGGGGGGCAGGCACTTATGCAGTTATTGTCTGGTTTATATTAATAATTAATTTAAGAGGATCTGTAGAATTATGTTTTCACTTTGACAGTTTACATATTTATGACAAGAGCAATGAAAAAGTGACAAAATGTACACTAAACAAACAATAGCTCAGAATTGTTTTTGTGTGAAAGATACCATTGCAGATAGTTTCAATTTTACTAAGCAAGTTAAAACACAGTTCTATAAAAATTTATCTCAAAGTAATTTACCCTGAGATCTTATCTGCCATGTAGCAGCTGACATCCTTTACAATTTATATTAGATAATTATCAACAACTCAAAGTATATGAGCAAATGAACAAGTCAGCATTCTCTTTGTATTTTATCAAAGCTGTAAAAACTTGTACTTGTAAGACCTCTTCTACTGTTGAGACATACAGTATCATCATGTTCAGTTTCTTTTTTATTCATCAAAATAGACTTTGTCTGACAAGGATTACCTAAAAGATTATTTGAGGTTAACATTTATAGAACCTGACAGGGAAAAAAAATGACATATTTGACTTTTATAAAAAGGAAATTAGATTTAAAACTGTTGCATTTAAAAATGCTTTATGTGTTTACATTGCTTCTCCATTTACAGCTATTCTTTAATTCATAAACAATGCTAGCAGTATTGTAGAGAACCCTAAATTTGATTCATTATGGTCCTTTTATTGGTAGGATTGAAAATCCAGGTATATTCTCAAGGTAGATTTCTTTAATACATATTAAATTAAACAACCTTGAGGAATATCTAATAAATAGGTTACAAGGATAACATATTTTAACACTGTAAATCATAAATAGGAACATAATTATTAACAGGATATATGTTACTTCACAATAACTTAAAGGTTACTGCATTGAAACCTATAGCCTTTGCCTACTTTCCACCAGTTTGTTAAGTGCCCGACCAGAGAAAACAAAACACTGGACTTATTATATGCCAATGCTAAGGATGCATATAGTTCCACAGCCCTTCCCCCCCTTGGCAGATCAGATCACAACCTGTCTTGCTTACACCACTATACACGCCTATTGTCCTGCGCCAACCTGCGGGCATTAGGACTGTGAGGAGATGGTCTTAGGAGGCTATGGAGGATCTACGTGGTGCTTTGGAGGCTACCAACTGGGATGTGCTGTGCAACCCACATGGGGACGACATAGACAACATGGTGGACTGTGTCACTGACTACATTAACTTATGCGTACACAACACCATCCCCACCAAAGACATACACTGCTTTTCCAATAACAAACCCTGGATCACCAGCAACCTGAAGGCTCTTCTGAATGATAAGAAGAGAGCCTTTAGGAGGGGGGATAAGGAAGAGGTCAAGCGTGTACAGAGGGAACTAAAGCAGAAGTTAAAAGAGAGTAAGGACGCCTACAGGAGGAAGGTAGAGGACAAGCTGTAAAGGAATAGGTTGAGGGACGTATGGAGCAGCATGAGAGATATCACTGGCTTCAAACAGGCTGGGGGTGCAACAGAGGGGAACCTAGAGATGCCCAACAAGTTGAACCAGTTTTTTAACAGGCTTGATTCAGGGCCCTCTGTGGCTCAACACCCATCCCCTCACAGCCACACGCTCCCTAAGCCTTCACAGCTGCGACTGCCCAACACCTCCTCCATCCCCCACAATCATGGCCGCCTACAGCTACAACCCCCGACAGCTACTCACCCCCCCATCCCCCACAGCTGCCA